GTCATCTTCATGCCCGACGGTCTGCCAATGCTCTTCTTGCCATTCGCCTTTCGTAAGTCATCGTACTTGCGATCGTGGTAAAAGTCGTGGATGGTCTTGGACAAGCTGAAGTCAGAGCCGTTCTCCGTGAGAATCTCATGCAGGCGCTGGCGAAGCCACTCCAGCGGAGTGATGTCGAGTGTTCCGAATGTTTCCAAACACTTCAAGGTGTCGGCCAGGCGAAACAGCGTGTCGTAGTTGACCAACTTGGTCGTGATATACTTCTTGGACAAAAGCTGGTACGGGCTGATTTCTCCGTCCTTCAGGAAGCTCATGATAGTGCCGCCCCTATTAACTTGTCGGCCTAACTGGAATTTCATGCCCTTCTGGCCGGTTCGTAAGGCGTTGTCCAACTTCACCTGCCAACTTTCGAGACTAGCTTGGATCAGAGGCGGTATCTCGGGCCACGACTGGTCCCAGTATGGGTGGCTGGGGTCAATCCTCTCGATAGGCACGCCTTCCATACACTCAGGGTGCGTGTACACCTTGCCATCATGCTTGAGGACGAGATTGGCTCGGGTGATTGGCGTGTGGTCTTCCTCCGTGTCATCTGCGATGGTCGATCCCTCGCCGGTGCTCTTGTCCCTAGAAACAGGTCGACTGGACATGGGTGTGGCCGTGCCGTTGAAGCTCTCATCTCGGGTGCTGATGACTTTGGCGTGCTGTGCAGTCGGAGGCGCCTGGTCTACAGCTTGGCCATCAGCCTGCTTGCGTCTCTCCCAGTAAGAATTAGCGCAAGATCCAAGCCCTTGCACGATGGTGCAATCTGAAAAGGGGCCTCCGCCTTGGACGCATACGGCGCATCGCCTTCCGTCCGTTTGCTGGTCCCCAATGGCCTGGATCATAACGGCGGTCCAGAGGTCCTTGTCCCCATGGATTCGCGTCAGATCCTGCTCCGTGAATATGACACCAGGACGCAACTGCACCGCTCGCTTGGGGCTCCTGTCGAGAAGCGCGCCCGCGGCTCCATGAACGGGAATGCGGTGAACAGGTCCGATACGCTGGCCCGAAGCGTCCATGATCATAGTCACCGGCTGATCCGGCGGGTTGGCGGAAGGTGGCAGGCCGTTGTTGCTGAGGGGGTGGTCTCCATTAGTGGTCACGCCGTTGACGCCATTGGGTTTGGTGCCGTTCATGACGTCGCTCGTGTGTGCAAGGCGTACAGTCTCGGAATCGCGCCGGGGAGCACCAAGGGCGGCAGCGGCGATCCTAGCACGGTTCTCGTCCTCTCTTTGGCGGTGCTGTGCGAAATAAGCCTGCATATGTTGAACTCTGGCTTCTCGGTCCATTTGCAGCTTCTGACGGTCCTCTTGAAAGTTGATGGTGAGTTCCTCCAACCCGCCGTGCTCTCTCTTGATGGCCTGGTTCACCTCCAACATGCGCCTCTCAAGATCCCTCTTTTCCATGGTCAGGGCGGCTAGGCGCATGCGAAGAGGCTCAGACTTGGCCATGAAGTTACTGTTATGCTGGTCATCTTCAGCCTCATGAGATAGCATCAGGGTCTGCCAATAGTTATCTTCGTCTTGGCGGGACGGCCCACTGCCGTCACCGGTGTCGAAGTGCATGATGAAGATGCCTCTGTGGCAGGCGCAGTGAGATGAGAGCCCCTGCTCAGACTTGTGGAATGCGGGTGAGGGGCGGGACGGCTGTGCGGTTCATCCAAAGTAAAGTCTCGTGTCGTCGGTGAAAATTTGTCGGAAGCAGACGAGACAATTCGCAGATGGACTACTCCAGCTCGCAGGGGCGGTCGGTATGGACAATGTTGGAGTTTCGCATTAAGACGAGAGTTGTGGTGGTGAGCAGAATTAGAGTGCAGCGGCTCCGGGGATGCAGCAGCCGAAGATGTCGCGTGCGTCGATCAATCCGCTTCACGTCGGGCGCGGTTCCGGTACCCTGCCACGAAATGCGGGTTTCCAGTGTCCAAGAATACCTGCCTAGGTGTGTTCCAGGACGGGGAAAGCAGCGGGAACGAGGAGGGGGACAACGGGGGACGTGAAGACGGCGCGATGTCTGTGGCGACACTCACTGCCTGGTATGGTGAGATTCGCCGAGAGATAGGATTGCCCGGGATGTGGGCGATGCGTCAAGCGGCGTCAGTATTGGCGCGAGAGAAGTGCAGTTGCAGCTGCAGATGTAGCGTGGAGGTAAGGTTGGGTTGGTTGGAGGTGTAGTAATTAGGTATGGTATGGTGTGAGTGGAAGGTAAAGTACGGATAGACAGAAAGGTACTAGTGTGCCTCCTACCTAAAGTAAGGAAGGTAAGGTAAAGTGCAGCGGAAGAGTGGATGTTGGGTGTTGAAAATTGGGCCGACTAGCTGAGGTGAGGTATCCGTAAGTAATGAGCGTATTCGTAAGGTAAAGGTAGGTAGTAGGTATGCAGATGGATAGACGGGTTTTGGTCGGGTTGGGGTGGCAGGCAAAGTGCAGGGGATGACCACGAAGGAAACCTCGTCAATGTCTTTCCCTTCAGGAGGTTGTCGAAATGAATTGGCTGCTGCTGATGCTGCTTGGTCCAGGCTGAGTGATTGATGAGCACGGTTGTTGAATGGAGAAGGGCAATGCAAAGACAGGAGCGACCGTGGGGCCTTCAATGCGGCGGCAACCTACGGCGTAAGTGACGGGATGGGGATAGGAATGCGCGTCTCTAGGTACGGTAAGGTAGGTAAGATGGGTTGGTGCGAACGAACGGCGATTGACTGTTGCTGGCGCCGATGGATGGTTCAATCGGTGAACGACGACGGGCGGGCAACAGCGGGCGGCCTGCGTGATGCTGATGCTCGACTGCTGCTGCTTACCTCTGCTTCTGCTGCTGGCGCAATCCAGCAATCTGCCAAATCTGCCAAATCGGCGCGACGGAATATCGCGTGTTTGCACGTGATTTCGCGCAAGATGAGCAAGACCCTGACACGCCTAGGCTCCCTTGATGCTTGCTTGCTTGGGGTATGGTTGGTAGGTAGTCGTAACGGGAACGCACAAGGGAAGGGAGTAGTGAGAGAGGTTCCAGAGATGAGGTAGCACTAAGCTATCAACTGTGGGACGGCACGCGGACGCCGGCGGAGTTCAGCGAGTCCGGCTGGATACGATAAGGTCGGATACCTGACGCGCTCGGAGCCAAGTTCCCTTATGCGGCGACGAGATACCTCACGGCGGAGGCCTTAGAGGATAGAAGGGAAGGAAGAGAGTGAGAAGGGGAGAGGCCACCAGGCAGAGATAAACTGGACCGTGGTGCAAGAAAGGAAGAAAATGCACCCAGAGACGAGAGACGAGATGAAAATAATTAAAAATCGGAAACAATGGAGGGGAGCAGGAAAAAAAAAGTCCAACAAAGGGAAGGCCCAACCGGCCAAACGCACCAGATTGAGTGAAGTACCTTTTACCAGACCCAACCTAACCACATCATCTCACCTTCCTCAATCTCATCTCATCCTGACGACCTACCTCTGTACTATAGTACTTACGTACATACCCGCCGTACTGGGCTAATTGGATAGTCCAGTCGTGCTTGTCAATGTTGCAGGCCCAAACCTGTTATGGGCCGGCCATTGAGAAGCACCCAACTTACACGCCTTCCCTGCCAAAGTTCAATAGGACTTTCGTTCTCTGCAATAGGGCGCGTGGAGCTTAATTGCTTTGCGTATAAGGTATGGTCCTGAATAGGTTGATTGCGTGCAGTTTGCAACGCAAGGCGAGGTGGCTGGCCTGGCCTGGCCTGGCCAGGTAAGCTTGTCACATTGTCCTGCTCGGACCAGCTGCGCATAAACTGCTGCAAATACTAAGTCCATTGACTTCCAACCCAAGGGGGTAAGGTACGGATAGAATTTCGGTTACTGCACCACCTAGTCCATCTACCACTCTGCCTAAGGTATTCCTAAGCCATCCCATTCCCTTAGGTTAGCTACCTTCCCGTTACCTCCCGTTAACTGTCCCGTCGGCTGCTAAAAGGGGGGGCATACATAGTGCACTAAGTGCCATCACAGCCGCTGCAAACGCACAATACTTTAGGGGGTGCTTATCCGTCGTCACCTATCGATAGATACTCGCCAGCACACGTGATTCGCGCAGAGTGCGAGCAAACCCCCTTAGCTTCAGACTAGCGCATCTCGATAACAGATCCGATGCTCCCGATAACGAACCTCCTCCACACCTCCAATCCCCTCCAGTCCCTCACCAGCCGGCAATGATGCAACGCCGCCGCCCGCAGGACATGTCGGCTGCTTCTCCCGGAGCTCTCCGCATCACGATACCCAGTACTACCTTGCAACATTTCCACGCTCGACTCGACGACTACTTGGGGAAGGAGAGACAAGCTTGTCGTGTCGCTGAATCCGATAGCCTCGTTGACTTCGGTGTCATGGCATGCCCTTCCAGCTGAATAAGGTTCAATGATGGCAAGAGACTCCATAACCAAAACTATATTCAGCATTACTTACTTCATGTACTGGAATTTCTATTTCAATCCATCCTATCTGAAACCTTAAAATCAATATCCCTCCCTCTCACCTGTCGTGACTGTTTTGCCCATATACTGCCTTCCGATTTCTCATCATGTCCGACTGAACGAACCCGAGTCTCGAATCGACTTTCCAATCTAGACATATCAATCCATCTTCTGCGATCTCGTCGACCAGATGGATCAGAACGGGGGAAAATCCTTCGCGGCCACATCTAGGGCGTAATGCACAATTTGGAACGCCGCAAGTTTCTCATATCTCAATGGAATTAGACTATGTACTATGGATAACCGCTGGCATCAATACCTGTAACGTTATTAACTCTCCTCCTCTTGTCATCACAGCCGGCCCCGCATCGGCCGCCTGTGGGCGCTGAAACTCAAAAAACGGCCGTGAGTGCTGCACCGACCCGACCTGGAAAGACAGTTTTTCCCAAACGCCGATCCGACCCAATGCTATAGTGAAATTGTCGTCATCTGTGCCCTACTTCATCTTCATTGCCTTCCTTCACTCAGTATCGGCCCGAGTGTCTCGCCGGAGACGGGGAGTACGAGTGGTCATAGCCGCTAGCCTGGCTCACATGGCCATACGGGTCGTCGTATACAGTCGCGCGGCGGTCCTCCTCGGGCAGCAACTCCTTGACCTCCCAGTTGTTCATCCTAGTGCCAACTGAGAACTCGAGGTCCTCTCGCGTGATCGAGTCCCAGTACTTGTAGACCATCATAACGCCCAAGAGGTTGCAGATCGTAGCGAAGAAGAGACCGTCGAGGTAGTGGCTGATGGCGGTGCAAATCTGTGTGCTGACGGCATACAGAATGACCTGACCGACGACGAAGAAGAAGACACCAAAGGCAATGTCACCCAACGGCCAGCGGTCCTGCAGGGTTCTAACGACAAGAAGAATCTGGAGGGCGACGTAGACGAAAAGCTCAATGGCGTTGAGCAGGTAGAGTACGACGAACAGCCCGACGGTGTTGGTGGGGCCGAGGCCTGCCCAAGACTTGAAGGTCGCAAGCGAAACCAGGAAGCAGATGGCGAATGCTACGACGCAGCATACACGGAGAAGCCAGATGGAAAGCGGGGTGCCGTCTTCATACAGCTGGAATCCAACAAAGCCGTTGATTAACAAGCAAGTGACGAGGGCCGACGTCAAGCCGTTTTGGACTGACACGAAGTACGGGTACGGAGCAGAGCCGGGGGGGACCACGCCGGCGTCAAGGCAGAGTGAGATGAAACTGAGGAGCATGTACAGGTAGAAGAAGGTGAGAATTTCCTTGCGACCTGTGATATCAAGTCAGCGGGGGCTTGGGTCGCGGGGTATCGTCGAGCTCATAGGTAACTCACCGACAGCAGTGAATTTGCCGCGAATGTGCAGAATCATGACCACGGTCATGAGGAGAGCAACGATGTGCATAGCGCTGGCAGCACCCTCGAAAATGATGGTGTTCGCTAGTTCGATATTGCGGGCATAGCAGTCGGGCTCGATACCGACGCCGCTCGTCACGGAGGTTACGGGGCCGATGGATGCGCACAACGGCAGCGGGGCCATGTGGCAGATGTTGGTGAAGTCGCCGAAGCCAGACATGTTGGGCTATCTGGCCGCGGTACAGCGACGTCGATGGGTTTGGATCGAGTTGAGGAGATTCTAGTCGTTGCTCGCAGACGGATGGGCGCGAGAGAGGTCAAGGTTGTCAACAGACTGGTGGCGGCGGCTCGACAGGGGGAAGCGAGGGTAATCTGGGTATGGGTGGCTGAAGTGGTTCGAGATGATGGGGATGCGTCGTCGCGAACGAAGGAGACGATGGCGCGGGTGTTCGCGTATTGGGACTGAATATTCGATGGACGGCAAGGGATGTCGTCGGGGTATCGGTAGTCGTCGTACGGAAGGAGACAAGAAGAATGCGGGACGTTGGTCAGGGACAAGACGTGAAGCGATCGGTGGATGGCGACGGTGACGGTGACGGTCGGAGATGATGGAGACTTGGAATGACGGCAACGGCAACGGCGAGTGGACGGCGACGATAGTCGGAGCGAGAGTGCGGGAACGAACGACTGGGCAGCGACCGATTCAAGATGAGGCTTGATGAGGTTTGAGTGCCCGGGGTGGTTGGCAGCGAGTGTGCGGTTGCTGTCCGACGAGCAGAGAAGCTGACGCTTGACGGGGACGTTGGAGCAGCGTTGCCGTGGAAAAAGGGAGGAAAGAGCCCACTCAGGAGCAAGATCAAGGCAGGCACGTTCAATGTTCCAGTGGAGGGCGGGCAGGTAGCGCCTCCCCGGTTGGCTAGCCGTTCTTGGTGGTTGGTGGTTGGTCGAGGTGGATGCAAGGCAAAGCAGGTGCACTGCAGAAAAGGAAGGGGCAGGGGCAGCAAGCTGAGGGACGTGGACCACGGCCATCCACCATCCCCCATCCACCATCGGATTCCTGCTGGAAGAAGCGCCTTCCCTGAAGTTCCTGCCACTTTCTGAGTCCAGCCCGCTCCCGCTGCTTCCTCTCTTTTTTTTTTTTTTCCTTACCCCTTCCCCCTAACCGTTTTGGTCCCTTCCATTGGCCAACACCTCTCCTTCCGCCCCCAACATCCAATAAAAGCGTCTCTTCGTGATTTTTGCATCTCCACCGTTTCGGCAAATTGGCCCATTCAAGCACCGTTACCCCTGCCTACTTTGATTTAGCGACAGCAAATCTTCCCCGCTAGCTCGAACACGAGGCCCCGTCGCCCCGTCCACCGCCTGAACACGGTCCGGCGGTTGACTGCCACTGTCGCGTCCAGCTGTTTCCAGCTGTCGCATCCAGTCGCACCTCAGTTTCTGCTTAACGCCGTGACGCTATTCGTGTTCATATTATCCGTAGTATTTTTACTCATTCTTTCTCCTAGTCTCAAACACCACATCCTCAGCCTCAGTCTTGTCTTGATTGCTCGCCTCAAGAGTGCCCATGGTGCGGTTCACCAATGTGCTGGTCTCCGCAGCAGAAGCTTTCGAAACGGTAAAACCATGCAGAGAACAGCAAACTCCCGCTGTCAATGACGTGGGCACTGTTCTGCCCGCAGTCGTCCAGTCAACCGTCGCATCATTTCGTCCCAACTCGCAAAACTCTCCTGATGCTCCCATCCTGGGGCTGGGAGGTGTGCTCTCCATTCGTGTCTTCAACTCGTTACTGAGTCGTTTCCCATCAAACTACGTCACTCACAACAACGTCAACCTGCTCGTCTGTCACCACCAGTAGAGGCGGTGGATAAGTCGCTTTGCAGTTGCCAGGTGCGTGTCGCTCAACAACGAAGCGAAACCGTTGTTGAAACACCAGCCACCATGGAGTAACTGCTTGTACTGCGATGCTATTAAGCGGATGTCGAGGCAACCCAAGCATAGGGCTGAAGGTACTCTTTAGCTATACATTTCCTTCAAGCTTGGTGTCAGTCAAACGTCAATGGGACCAAATAATTATGCCAGTATTCTTTAAACGGAATGCAATCCTCTGTCCGTAATACAACGGCGTAGCACCGGTCCTCGGACGTCATTCAACGCTACAATCTCTTTGAACCACCAAGTGGAAATAACCGGCGCCATAGCGTAGACAGGGACGTATTGCTAATTATTGATCTAACGCGTAGGAGGAACACGACTAACCATGCTGCCTCACGCACGCAGAGCCGCATAGACTCAGATTGACCTCAGCTCGACCTCGAAGCGCCCTCAAAGCGGGTATGCATCACCAAGTTCTCGTTCCCGTCAGCTTCTTGCCCTCTGGCTTCTTGTCCTTTACCTTCTTGCTCTTCTTCTCGTCTTCCCTCTTGCCCTCGAAAAACCGATCATAGCATCCGCTGCAACTAGCAGGACGGAACCGTACCCTCGTATGCTCCAACCCTGTGAAGCACTCTACCCAGGGCAGCGTCTTCAACATCTCCAGGTGCGACATGTAGATATTGCCCTCGAATCGCCATGGGCCTGGACAGTTCGCGAGCTCGTCGGCACTCCACGAGCACTGTAGATTTTGATGCGTAAGAAACCGCACAGCCATCCCGAAAGTCCACGCGCAGAAGAAGTTGTCTTTGACGAGACACACCGGCGTGCTCTTCTGAGCCATCCTCGCCTTAACCTCTTGGGCGTCATAGCCCATCCAGTCTACCGTGCTGAGCACATGCAATGGGTGCAGAGCTTCAGACAACGCGCCCTTCTGCGTGCCTATCGAGTCGGGCGCAAGACGCCAGCCCATCATGCCGAGCATGTACGTTTCCTTGCAGCTCTGCGCGGCACACTGGGCCATTTTCTCTTCGCCCGTGACACAGCGCGCAGTGAGTCCCTCGAACGACCTCCGGAGAATCTGCACCGCGTTGACGGCCCGGTGGACGCGGTGCCACTCCACGATGCCCAGCAACTTCAACACCCCCTTGAACAATGGAGACACGTCTTCCTTCAGATGCCGTCTTCTCGTCGCCTCGATGAACCGCCCCGTGAGATTTGTGAACTCAAACAGCGAGTCTGCCGTGCGGGCCAGACAGCCCGCGATGTCCGGGTTCGTGAGTCTGTCGACGCCGCCGCCGCCCTGGATTCGCTGCCAGAATATCCCGCCCATGGTGACGGCGAGTCTCTTCGCTGCGGCGCGGCAGTCCGTCTGCATCTTTCGGACCATGCACTCCTCCGCCATGGTGCCGTGCGCGACGAAGCACCGCGGCCGCTGGAGGTCGATGTCGACGATCCAGGAGCCGCCACGGTACGACATGCCCCTCGCCCGCTTCTTGATCTTGACTTTGGGCTCGGCGTCGACTAGGTGGGGCCCGCGGTGGTCTACTTTGCCGCGGTCGCCGTCGGGGAGCGGTACCCAGAAGGCGTCGTCGGACAGCGGACCCTCGGGGAGGTAGAACCTCGTCTTGTCGAGGGTGAAGGTCGACCGAGGTGCCTCGACGGCCTTGAAGATCAAAGTCATGGCCTGGTTGTGCGAGGACATGTCGACCAATTCAATGTCCTCGGTAGTTTGCGATAGAGAAGACGACGAGAAAGGATCGCGGGCCATACCTACGGCTATCTCTTCGAGGGGGTATCTTCTCATCTTTGCGGATGGTGTGATATAACAAGCTCGCGATGTTTGGAAATTCTCGGCGTTGAATGCATCAAGGAAAAGGTATCAGTTTGCCAGACGTCGCCTCCGCTCTGGTTTGATAAATCTCCCAGGGAATCCATCTACGAAGACCATGAAAAGATTCAACAGGTTGCTAGCTGTGCCATACCGTCTCCGAAACGCAACCTCTGTAACAGATCGTTGGAGCGGGATAGGGTGAAGAGATCATTCCCATCACCTGACGTTGGCTTTTCGCCAGTCACTTGATGGATAATAAAGTCTCGGCGAATGGGATCTCACGATTCACGGTTTGCTACTCTGGTCATTCCTGACCTGGAGAAGTAGAACACCCATTGCCTGAACTTTAACTTGGCAACTAAAGTTTATCTAGCCACAAATATACTTGAGTATACTGTCTTGAGATTTGCGTCGGTGACGTTAAAAAGTCCTTACACTTATTCGCGGACCTTTTAAAAATATGCTCAGTATGAAGATACTGATGTCTCTGCGGTAGCTGGACTCGAAACCAAATTTATGGCAGCGGAGGAGGTTTCTGATATCCATTTAGAAACCCATGTTACTCATTTCGCCACTTAGACATCTACTTCTACCATTAGCAACAGCAAAGGTGGTTTAACTGGGCGGAGCCTTCTTGGAGACAGGATATATGAGCCTATTCAATAAGGCACTGAATGGACAAAGTCACAAGCGCCACAAAGCCATCAGGGAGTATAATAAATTAATAATATACAGGAGTGGTCTCTGTAGATTCTCAAGTGATTGATATGTAGGAAGGGTGAACATGGTTCGTTCTGACCAGGATATTTGACTCCGTAACCTTGGAGGTAGACATGGACTATTGAACATGTAGCTCAGATAACAGGGTCGTTCTCTTTCCGGCAACTGTATATGTCCGAGGAGAGCACTCAAAGTCCTCTTTCTAAGCTCATCGTCATGAAGGAGACGATACCACCTTATTCACCGTTGCAATGTTGTGTTGAGACAACATATGCTGGAACCTCGCGGCTGGATTCTAGGAGAGCCGACTTGATAGGAAGAGAATATGCAAGACTTTCGAACTCATCACATCAAGATCATGTTATCATTGCGACTCTCATATTCTACTTCTTCCTCTATGTTTCCTGTGCTTGTGTCTTCATAGGACTTTGATAGCGAGTCCGTAGCGGAACGGACGGCCGGTCAAGAACATGATGTCCATCTGTCAGAAACATGTATTGGCAGTGCGGTCTTTCCTCTTGGAAGGCGCTTCACAGGCCAAGTGCTACCCGACATGCAGACAGTAGATGGATATCCAAGGCATGGCCGCGGCCGAGCCAAAGCAAGTCGTCGTTCAAGTGTCTGGCTGTCTGAGTGAAATGAGAAGTATCCAATGCAGCCTGCGTCGTTACCTTGACTAATAACTTGCAGTCACAGTGACCACAACAATTATAGATCAACTATACCTCTCTACACATATCTAGACAGCCATCATGAACCTTTAGGCTGCGCTGCAATGCTCGGGTGCTGGCGGC